GATGAGGAGGATGAGGATGAGGAGGATGAGGATGAGGAGGACGAGGATGATGAGGATGAGGATGATGAGGATAATGAGGATGATGGTGATGATGAGGATGATGAGAAGGATGATGAGGATTATGATAATGAGATGAGGATAGGATGATGAGGATGAGGATGAGGATGAGGATGATGAGGAATGCAAGTGTGAAATGACTGATAATGTAGGTTCATCTTCAGATGACACAGATTATGAGTTAAATTCAGAAGAACACCCTGGGCGAAAATTCCTGGTTTTTGAGTCCTGCCTAAATTTACTTCTAAAATTCTGTTCAAAATGCGCTGGAACCATTTTTGAATCCACCGAAACAACTAGTGGCAGTATGTTTTCAGTGGAAATGCTGTGTGTCAATAACCATCTGACTTGCTGGAATTCACAGCCACTAATAAAAAATATTGCAGCAGGCAATTTACTCTCCTCCGCTGCCATTCTGTTTAGTGGCAATACATTTTCTCATATTGCCCAGTTTGCATCCTTTCTGAATTTGAAGTTCTTCAGCCATACCACATATTACAATATACAGAACAAGTATTTGTCTCCTGTGGTAAACAAAGCCTGGAAAGAGGAAAGAAGTTCAGTATTAGATGAAGTTAAAAGCAAAGGGCCAGTCAATTTGATTAGGGATGGAAGGTGTGATAGTCTAGGTCACAATGCCAAATATTGCACATACACTATGATGACAGATGAAGGAAAGGTGGCAGCATTCAATGTTGTACAGGTAACAGAGGTAACGTCGTCTAATGCGATGGAAAAGGAAGGGTTCGAGAGGTGCATTCAAGACCTTGCCAGAGAAGAAGTCACCATCAAGAGGATTGCCACCTACCGCCATTCTTCCATCTCAAGTTCCATGAAAAAGGACCATGGTGAAATCGACCACCGGTATGATGTTTGGCATTTATCAAAGTGGGTGTTGAAAAATTTTCCAAGAAGGCTAAAGTGAAACGATGTGAAGATCTCCTTCCAGGGATCCGTTCAGTCTCGAACCACATGTGGTGGCAATGCTGAAGTGCTGAAAGAAAAGTGGAAGTCAGTCCTATTTCATGTGACAAACAAACACAAGTTGAATGGCTACACCCACTTTCATGAGTGCTGCGATCCACGAATGACCAGTGCTCATACCAGGAAAAAGAAGTGGCTGAAGCCTGATAGCCCTGCCTATGTTGCCCTTGAGGAGGTGGTGCTCAACAAGATCTTGAAGGACATTGAAAAGTTGACTGAATTTTACCACACTGGAGAGCTTGAGGTGTGTCACTCTGAATATTTGAAGTACTGCCCAAAGCGTGAGCATTTTTCACACAAAGGAATGGTGGGACGCGCAAAAATCACAGCACTCGATCACAATGCAAACTGTGGAAGAAAGCAGGCAGTCATCCATTCTGGGCCACGAGGTGGTGAAGCCAGGTACAAGGTCAGGTTACCAAAGGCACAGAAACAGTGGGTGGCTAAGCCAATAAAAGAAAAAATATCCTATGCACATGTTATGGTTTTGATGGACACTGTTGCCAATGCCTGTGAAACCGGTGAAGTTGAAATTGAACCTGAAGCACGCCATCTCCCCAAAAATATCTCAGGGAATGCACCTCCAAGCAAACAAGAACTTGTCCATAAACAGAGGTCCGGGTTTAACCGATAAAAACTCTACAATTTGGCTGCACGAATGTGGACTAATTTGCATGCAACTGTGATCAAGTACAACTCAAATGAGTGAGAGTCAATAATTANACAAGGTCAGCTTCCCAAAGGCACAGAAACAGTGGGTGGCTAAGCCAATAAAAGAAAAAAAATCCTATGCACATGTTATGGTTTTGATGGACACTGTTGCCAATGCCTGTGAAACTGGTGAAGTTGAAATTGAACCTGAAGCACGCCATCTCCCCAAAAACATCTCAGGGAATGCACCTCCAAGAAAACAACAACTTGTTCATAAACACCAGTCCAGGTTTAACCGATAACAACTCTACAATTTGGCTTGACGAATGTGGACTAATTTGCATGCAACTGTGATCAAGTACAACTCAAATGAATGAGAGTCAATAATTACAGCTATTGTTTCCCAGGGAAATCAGTGATCTCAGTGCACTGAAGGGATTTGGAGTGTCTTGACATGACATTTTATCATCCATTATAATATAGATACCAACCTGAGCACGCTCTGATTGGTCAAAAACCCAGTTTTATATGAGTATAAAACATAGAAAAAGTGTGCTTTATTGTTTTTCGCCACATTACCTCAATATTGTAAGGCAAATAAAGAAGGCTAAGCCATGTATTACACTGTCATAAAACACTCCAGACATTTGAACACTCGAGAAATGTAGAAAACACTATTCGCCTGCGGCTCGAGTTTTCTACATTTCCCTTGTGTTCTAAAATGTCCATCGTCTTTGATCACAGTGTAATACACGGCTTAGCCTTCTTTATTTGTTAAATAAAACCA